AAATAACCAGGATCCATGCACACACACACACACACACGCTTATGCACACTTTAGTCTACGCGCCCAGGCGTTACCTTGATCTTTGTTGACCAACCACAACCTCGTCAATCCGAGCTTAGCCTGCAATTGGATCTGTCTCATTCCGCCCCCGCACACAAATCTGCACACATATTTGCACACACAACCGTCCGGCGCCAATGAGAAGGCGACTTTTTCATCAAGTCCAGTATTTAGTGGGCAGAACCCTTCGTTGGATCGATTTCGCCATGGCTCCATCACCCCGGGGTCAACGAGGCCTACTGGCATGCACTGGGTGCGCGGCTGGCAACCGTCGTGACTCATCCTTTGCGATTAATTGAGGCAAGACGAGGCTGAAGCCGCTGGATGTGGCGCTGCGGCAGACCGCGATGAACAGTGCGCTGGTTCGGCAACTTCCCGCCCTAACGAATCGCTCGTGGAAAGTGGCATCGGTCGTCTCTATGACACCTCCTCTTATCGCCTATTAGCCCCTACCGAACCGGTGTGCGGACCACATCTTCTTCGGAATGACGGTCGTCGTGGGTGGCTTCTAACTTCTGCCATTTCTTCCTACCTCACTGCTTCGAGCGTCGCATTGGCAGGTGAGTCGTCCAGCTTCGAGACCCTAACTCGGTCCTCCGACAACCACGTCGTTAGGTCCCCTTCGACAGGTCTTAACTTGTTTCGCGACAGAAAACTGACTTTGCCCAGACTTACCTCGAATCAACCCCACCAGACTAGATGTTACAACTCAATGCATCATCTGATTATGCTGCCTCTTCCACATGGTGACACTTCACAGAATACCCTCTCGGTTGTCAGGTTGCCGCCCCCTCCCTTACCCAGCCTTCGCATCACTTTTATGTACACACATAATGCATCTCTATCACTGTCAAATAGATATGAACACTATTCCAACCTATAAAGATGTTTCATTATATTTCTTCTTCTATCTTAGCCTTCAGCCTATGGTTCGGTCACAGTATGAGCAGAAAAGTTGGGTTTCAAAGAATCTCTTAGTTCATTATTATTCAGTTCACTTCCATTTCAAGTGAAAGAGTTTCGTGAAAAGATTTGAGGGTTGATCCCACCAGGAGACGGCGGAAGATTCCTTTTCACCAGCTATCGATTGGCTTTACCAGAACCTTTTTGGTGACGCTGCTTCCGAGGCAATTTCCTTCGATCGAAGTGAAGTTAGGATCATCACTGAGCGGACGAGTTGTTTCGCCTTAATTTGGATGGCGACTCAACACTGTCATCCCTTCAATCTACCAATTAAGCATACGTAGTTCTTACTCAACTTCATTCCACCATTCCTCACCTTCAAGGTATTTCCTAATCCATTAAAAGCAGAACAAAGGGAGTTAGCCGTCCTCCTCTGGTTAGACCGACCATCGAATCTCTTCTTCATACCCTTTCATAAGAAATGAAAGTCTCCTAAACAATGCTATCTCAGGAGATTCATCGAAACCCAGTTACTCTTCGTATCTAAAATAACGTTACAGTAGAGCCAATTGGCAGGAGGTCAAGAGTAATCCGCTTCCGTCTTCTAGTAGGATCAAACTTCACATCTCTTCATCAAGCACTTTCCCTCGCGATGAAATTAGGCTGAATGATTATGTTTCGGTCATCTATACGACTATGAGTTGGATCTAATACACACCAAGTTTGAGAAGATGGGATTTGATAAAGTAACTAAATGCAAAGTTTTTAGATGTGAGCCCAACAGTACAGCCTTATATGGGAACATCTTGTTTAGTTTCCTTTTAAGTGGCAGAAAATCCGCCAGATTTTCGTTATGAGTCTCATGCGCTAAGGGATTCAATACTAGGGCGTATCAAGGAGATGTAACGAACAAGATGGTGTGGCCCTGGGTATAATCGCAGTCTCCCTTCGAGTTATAGAAGTGGGTTGACCTCGTTTTCGCAATGTGGTCTTGTTGTCAAGGCGATTTAGTTAAACGCACCTTGTACGAAGTCCTCTGTCACAGTTGTTATCATAATTCCCAGCATCAGTCCGTCGACTTGGTACATTCTCAAACGTTTCGCCGGCATCGTAGTCAGCATCATCATTGAGTCTTGACATTCTCCGCACCAAGCTACAAACTCGCCATAGAGACAAGTGAAATCGATGCCTCGACCAGCGTTCTGCAGGACAGAAAGAAGAGTGACAATTTAACCGTTTCGGCAGAACATTGTTCGACGGATTGACTTCACTTCTCACTGACGAATTTGAAACTGGGTACTGAGAATGACAAGACTCACAGATGATGCCGACTACGATGCTGGCGAAACGTCTGAGAATGCACCAAGTCGACGGTCTGATGCTGGAAATTATGATAGCTACTATGACAGAGGACTTCAGACAAATTGCATTCTACTCAGTCGCCCTGACAGCAAGACCAATTTGCGAAAACGAGGTCAGTTCACTTCAAGGGTGAATAATTTTGTATTTGACTCTTACTGATAGTCTCGCAAACTAATCACATTGATAATAAGATCTTGAACGAGAGTATTAGTTTCCGAGGCTACCAGTATATCTGATATAAGAGCTGTATCCACCCTATTTCGTTTATGTTAATGAATGACGAATATTCGAATTTCCCAACAATGATATGAAACAACCTCGTAATTCAACTACATTTCACACAGCCTTGCTTCCCTAAAGATATTCACAAAGTTTGTCACTGATAATGCGAACTTTCATTGTACCTTGGACTAAGTAGTTTCTTCTAGCTAGACACTAATTTTCTGCTCCAGCGGCTTCTTAAATTCAGGCTCCCTGTAGGTACAGGCAGGGTGCAAACGACATGACACAATGGAGCGAAAAATGTGTAGTACATCATTTGTTACTTTGCTGAGACCAACCTCCGGGAATTGGCCTGACTTGGCTCTAAGGCGAAGTTCATCCTGATAAGGTGAGGGTCAGGATGGTCGGCAAAGGGAGCCTGTGCAGGAATATTCTGCAATCGTTATAAACAAATCATACGGAAGACAAACTAAAGCTATTCACAAACTTGACCATCTGTCTCCAACAAACATGGCCGAGAAAATGACATCTATAGAAGAGGTACATTTTACTGTCTTGGATATCCATTAATTAAGATAACCACTAACATATTCTGTATTGAAAATGTATTCTGTTTGGCCCTGGCCTTTAATTTTCCTTAACACAAATTCAGGAACACTGTGGTACTAACTCAAACATTAGCCAAGCAAGTGGACGAGCAAGCCGACAAAAGCTTTGTGACCGGAGAGTTGGGAGGACTGGCAGGTCGGCGGTAGTCTAGTAGAGCGTGTGTCGGCCGGCTTTTCATGTCTACAATGTTCATTAAATTTTATGTTATCATGACAAATGTGCCTGTACGGGGTTGAGGCTCTTTATGCAACGGATAGCTTTGAGTCTAGTAGCAGTGTGCAGACGCTTCAGCTTCCGGCTGATATTCCAATCAAATAGACGCCCAGTAATTTTAACCACTATTTTGTAAAAGTTCTCTTAGATTTTTTAGCATCGACTTTGTTTCACCTAAATTACCCAATCTCAGAGTAGTAACCACATATTATTTGATAATATTGCAAGCCATTGAGAATCGTCAATCACATAAAAATCAGATGGCATTCGGACTATATTGTAACTGAACGCTTTGCCCTAATCAGTGAAAAATTATCCAAGAAAAGCCTTATATGCTTCTATATGGCTCACGCAGAGGATGGTACCAGTTAAACCATTATACTGTTGGGGAAACTTTCATCCCCTATAAAAGTACATGAAGACGAGATTCGAAGGTCGCTCTCACCAGAAGACGACGGTTGACTTCCATTTTATGTAGACGCTTGATTTTAATACGACATTCAGATTGACGCAGTCCACGAGACATCCTTCCTCGTTTCGAGTGAAAATTGGCTGGGCTTTTGTCCATGATATGATGGCATCATCAGATTTGTAAATCATTTTTCTAAAAGACTCAGATTAACACTAGGTCAAGAAAATTGCTTGCTCTATCTTACCTCTCATATATACTCGTTAGTCTCAAACGAAAATGTGTAGACATAAATAGATATAGAATGGTTCAACTTATTCCCTTTCATAATAGTCGTTACACTTTCACTTAATTACGTGGGTGCATGCTTGTATAATAACATATTTACGCGATACGGCTTCCAGATCTGATGATTTTTATGATATGATAGAAGAAAGTTCCGGCCTTTTTCGTTATATACAAGGGAGGATACCTCGTGTATTGCGTCAATTTAATCGCCGTCAATCGGCAGCATAACAACGGGAATAAGACGTCGTCTTGTGGTGAGATCAACCGTCGAATCTATTCTCCATGCATTTTTATACGAAATGAAAATTCCCCTAACAAAATTATTTTAGGCGATTCATTTAAACCTAGTTACTCTTTGTACAAACCATCCTAGATAAGAAGATCAAGATGTTATAGGGTTGGTTCGGCCTCATTGTCGCAACTTGGTCGGAGCTTCAGGGAGACCTTGTGAAAAACTCTATTGCTGTTCCCTTGATTACCATATTAATAATTTTTTATATCAAACATTACCATTCGTTTAGCTGGTATCGATGCTGCTCAAGATGCCAGCGACACGTCTGAGAAAGCACCGTGATCCGATGATTAAAAATAGCATGAGAACTATAGCAGAGGAAGCAATACTATATTAGTTCCAATAGCTCTCTCTGTTGTTCCTACCAAGTTGCGAAAGTGAATTCGCATTCTGCTCTTACATTTACATACGTCTTTCTTTTAGCTAAAATCACGTAGTCATAATCAAACTATTGAGGATAAAACGAAATAACTACCTGTTGTTTCCTTGATGTTAACTATGTAATTAAGCTAAAAATGACGTCCTTATCCATCCTTGATCTGCCCCAGTCTCACCAGCATCCTCTGCAGAGCAATGACCAAGAGGTGAAATTTTAAGGATTCTACATAACCCTCTCTGCATCATTCAGCAAATTGACCGATGGAATATCGATGAGGCAATAATCGTAATAAGGCCAGGATGAATATACTCCTTAGTGTGCGGATACTAGTGAGATTTTTATGATTCAATCAAGTCTTCTCTCTAATTAATCATGGATAGCCTAACCACCAGAGCCATAACAAAGAAGATTTTTTTCGTTTATATGTAAGTTTTCGAGACTACCTGTCCTTCGTCACCTCAAACGAAATAGGGTGAGGGCCTCTCTTATAAGAAAAAAATGTCCGTTTTGGTCGCTGATAGTGGCGACCGAAAATGACTGCTTACATAATCGTATTTTATGAACTTTTTAACCCCAAAATGTGAAACCCGAAAATCATAACCTGA